CGTTTAACGTGGAAGCTATTAATAATAGCTTCCACGTTAAACGAAATAAAATTATGATAATGTTTGGAGATTAAAATGATATATATAGATATATATATATATATATATAGATAGATATATATATATATATACACACGTGTAAAACATATATGTCAGGTGATACATCTACATGACACATGTTACTCTACATATAGATGTTTTCTCTTGAAGTCATTGACTGATGTACCCCAACAATAACAACTTGTTCTTAAGGAGGTACAACCTGAAGTAGAGGAAGAGGACACACAAGACCAACATTTCACCACACAACCACATGTGCATGTAGATAATGCTGATATCCTATCAGCCATTTAGTGTTATATGATGGATAAGATGTATTATTGGTACCTTCAGCGTTATCCAAATGATTTCCCTTCTCAGTAATTTCTTTGAACTTTCTTAGTATATGTTATGTTATGAATTTTTGTTTTGAGTCTCTGAACCATATTTTTGTCTTTGAATTTATGTTATGTTATGAATTTTTATTTTGAATTTTTGAATCACATTGCGGCATTTTGTTGAACGTACGCATGTGGTTGGCGTTCTGGAAACGACCCATTTTGAATCTAGAATGACCCATTCTAAAACTAGAACGGCCCGTTCTGGTTTCAGAATGACCCGTTCTGGTTTCAGAACGACCCGTTCTGCTGCACTCGTGGTGTGTTAATTTTGCATCTGGAACGGGCCGTTCCAGATGCAAAATTGTTCCAGATGCAAAATTAACACACGACATGTGCAACCAGAACGGGTCGTTCTAGTTTCAGAATGGGTTGTTCTGGTTCTAGTTGCATTCAAGAAATTTGGCATCCACCTATGCATTTACGTGGCACCACATGATCAAAAGTTAACTCCGTTTAAATAATTTGGACGGAAGTCCAACATTGTATTAATTTAAATTATTAGGGACCAAATTGAAACAAAAAATTAAAGTAGAACTAAATTGAAACAAAAAAATATTATAAGGGACCAAATTAGTGTTTTAACCATCAATTAATTAACTATTATCAGTAGTAGATTTAAAACCTTAAATTAATGGGAGAATTTATTTTAAAAATAATTATATATGTATAAATTGAGACATAAATATTATATATAAAAAAAGAAGAAACATTCATTATAAATGAAAAATAAGCTGAAAATAGATTATATTTTTTTTTTTATTTTTGTCAGCAATTTTTTATTATTAATAATTAGGCATTAGAAGTACCTAGAAGTACAAGAGTAATTACCACATTCCAACAAATGATAAATAAGAAATATCAACCATCTCAACCAAACCTAATAAAATATAATTCAATTACAAAACAAGTTTCAGGTGAGTTTTGTCATTAACGGAAGGAATATATGAAGTCCTTTATCAATTTCTTTAGCCAAGTCCATGAAAAAAAAACAAAACATCCTGTACTACTTTGTTGGAGTCAAAAACCTGACTTTTATGTAAAGATGCATTTTTGTGTCTTCAAATAAATAAATAAATAAATAAATATATATATATATATATAAATTAGTTAATAAAAGAAAAATATCAACAACAATTGAGAAATCAGATATAATGCGTTCAAAATATAAATTTAAAGAAAAAAAAACTTTTAACTCGAGAGACATACGTGCTTTATTTTTAAAATTAGGAAATGCATTCACACAACTTGAACCCTATCCGCCATTGATTATTAGTGACTCACAATTGTCATAAATATCTTTTAAGAATTCAACTTAACTCCCACTAATTATCAACCAGTTAAAATTATAAATAATATGTATTCTAACATATCACTTCTTAATTAGTTTTAGTTATACCAGCACGTAGATGGGCACTCTGTGCTCCACTAAAATAAAACAAATATATAAGTGAACAACTATTATTATAGAGTGAGTCATTAGTGATATAGAACAAACAATTAACTTGTTCTGTATATATATATTTTTTTATCTCAATTTTTTCTTTAAAAGATACAAAGTGGAAAAAGATTAAACTTTAATAAAAGAATACATATGTCTAAAAAAATTTGTACACCAAAGAATAGTATTCCTTTTATGTATTACTAATGAAAAAAAAAACACTATGTGTCTCCATTAAAAAAGAAGAAACTAACAAATCTATCATAATAATTTTTATGATCATTAAAAGTTATGTATAGTTATTTATAGTAAAATGAAAAAAGTAAAAGTAGACACTAAATGAGAATTTTTTAATTGTCCCATTTGATGTCCATATTTTAAAACAATTTTACTCTTATAACTACTCTTTTATAAATTACAAATTTTTTTTAATGTAAATTTTGTTCTATAACCACTTATATTTTTAATAATCACTAATTATTATATAATTTTTGTTATTTATTAATTTTATAAAAATAATTTACAGGATTATCTTTTGTAAGCTAGTTTAAATAAAATTTCTAGAGACACGAAGGGATTGGATACGTATTGATAAGAAGGTTTTATTCATCGGCTGACCAAATAAATAATCGAAAAAGAAACAGAAAAGTGGGACTTTTAGGTCATAACGTGTAGTGATGTATACTTGGGCCATAAAAATACTATAGTGCCTGGTTTTAATCTGGCGACACCATAGCAACATATCCATATCCACTCATTCTTATTGGATGGCTCAGCCCATTACTTGATTTTCTTCTTCTAAAAGCTTCGGCATAACATGTCATGAACCATGCACGAAAAGATGACAGTAAAAAACTAACATAAATATAGGCTTTGCCTGTTTTCCATTGCACAAAACAAGTTCAATTCCTAACCAATAAGAGATCCTTTTCCAATGTTTTTAGAAAAGACTCCTTTAAAGTTGAGACAAGCTTTTTAAGGTTGGGTGTTTTGGCACTTTGTGTTGGTTGATGCATCGCCCCTACGTGATCAATGCTCACTGCCACCACACCACCAACCTTGCCTTTTCTCCGACTCCTTAATTCACAAGTTCTTATATTCTTTCTTCTGCTTTTAGTTGTCTCATTCACTACTTCCCATTGCTTCTTTTCCTTTGCTCCGCGCCATATGGCTTTATCAATTCCTATTCAATTCCACCCTAAGTGAGTGCATGCCATTTTCATATACATTCTGCTATACTTATCTTTTTATGATCTTTTCATGTTAAATAAACAAAGTATTCAATAAAAAATAAATGTCTTTTTGGTGTATATTAGTCACAAGTCACAACATATATACTTAGAAACTAAAACTTTGTGTAATTCATCTAAATTTACATTATTAAGGCAACCGTGTTGAATATAAAAATAAATATATTCAGTATCTCAAAAACATAAGACGTATTTAATCTTTTTATACTTAATAAACATGAGATTATTAATATATATATATATATAAACAAGATGAATGTAGATCCCATATAAAAGCCCTTCTAGATCTAAAAGACATCACATTATTTTAAGTATACATTTTTTAACTTAAATACACATTCCTCTAAAAAAAGTAAAATAATACTTTCTACTTATATAGTATTTAACAAATAAGTAGACATTTGATTACTATCCGGACCATTTGCAGCGACTAAGTATCCAAATTTTTAAAGTCACCATGAAAAGTTTTAGTCAAAATAAAGAAACATATAAAGCTTCGAAGCTCAAATCTGTAGATTTGGATTGACCTTTCTTTTATTTGATTTGCATATTATAGCCAAAAACAATGTTACTAAAGCTAATGAATTTGAAGCAAACTTTTCTCCACGTTTAGACAAAAACAATGGCTGTAAATTTGGATCTCTTTAGATAATAGTAAATTTGTTCACTCTAGATAATCAGTTTTGTAAGTTATAACAATTATTTGAGAGTAATATGCCCTGAGTAATATTTTTGTAAAGTGAAAAAACTACTAAAACAAGAACAATGTCAGGAGATAATCTTTTAATAACATATTGATTAATATAAAAAAAATACATTTAAAGTAGACAAAAATTGGAGTCCGTAAATTAATTGCTCGAAGTTATACGTGATATACCATTAGCTAAAACTATAGGCCTCTAGGCCCGTCTTGTAAGAAAAAAAAACAGCTAAAATTATTAAACTCAATAATGATTTTAAGAACTTATGATAAAATTTTGCTTTCTTCAAACAAAAATATTAAAAGATCATAAAGATGTTCAGTTGATTATTGATAGATCTAACATATAATTTAGTTTCTTAATTATGTAAAATAGACATTAAATTATTTGTATTGTATTTAAACATTGATTCGATTCATAAAGTGATGCTTATTTTGAACCTTTTTTTTACTGCACTTATTTTAAACGTTGACACATTAAACTAATATATAATTATTTTTTAAAAAAAAAGTTGACTTTATCACTGGTGTATTTTTTAACCACTAATTTAAGCACTCAATTTTATTTGTGTATTATGAAGAAGTATCATGTTTTAGGTCTTCCATGACCAAAAATACACAGAATGGGCTAGATAAGTAATTAGCCAACATAAAAAGGACAAAACTATTAGGCTACAATTGAAAAATCAAGAATGTACAGAATTGGCAGCTGTAAAGTAGTCGACGAATATTTTGTACATTAATTTAAAAGTTCATAAAGCAGATGGTTATTTTCTCGGATCCACAATATTCAACAACTTCTATATAATCATTCCATAGAAAGTTAATCGAGATGGGTCTCGTGTGCTATTGTCTCGTGGCTACAAATGTTATTGTTATTAAATTATTAAATCAGAGGAAATTACTAAATTGGTTCCTAAATTTATAACACGTAATTATATTGATTCTTAAAATTAAAATTTGTAAAATACGCTTTTAAAAGTATAAATTTAAAACATAAATAATATGTAACTAGAATGATAATATTAATACATGCTTAAAAATTAATTTTTAGATCTTATTTAACATTCTAAGAATTTATTTAATAAATTTTTTAGTGTCAAGAGTTTTTAAAAATTAGGAGCTAAAATAGGTGTCTATTGTATTAAATTATTAGTAAATGAAAAAAAAATGGCTAGTGTAAGGCATCATGTTGATCTTTTTGTGTGTCGGAAAAGCATCGAGTGTCAGAAGCCAAACATGAGTCAGCAAGACTTCACCACGCCACAAAGCCGGTGATAACTGATGGGAAAGCCAAGTCTTTTTCTTCTCTGAGTTGAGACCGCAAAGCTTTCACCTTTCTCTCGTCTCGTTGCTCGCAAACACCTTCACCAGTGCTAGTTAAGTGGACACAGTGTTCGTTTGAGGAAGCTGACATCATGGACTTCGACTTCAGGGATAGTTTTCACTCTGTCAAGCACCTCTCTGCTGTGCAAGCTGCTAGACTTCACTCTGGTACTTCATTTCTCACTTGCTATTTCCCTCTCTTCTTCATCTTCTTTTCTTTCAGTACCCATTTTCTCTTTTTTATTTTTGTTTTATTTTATTTTCCTGTCTCGTTTGAGCTATGGTTTTCTGTTTGATGTGAAATCCTAAGATTTTTTTCTTTGGTGGGTAGAGCTAGAACTTGGAACTTGGAAGCATTTAGGTTGGTATTACGTAGCCTCAATTTGCCTTGTGTGCCAATTTTTGATGAACTGAATATGAACTCACGCTTCCTGCTTCGAGCGTGTTTTGGTTAACTGAGTCAACTCATTTAATTCATTGCATTTGATTTCAGTTTTCTGTCGAGCTTTCCTTGTCCCAAGCACCTGCAAGTATGATTACAAAAAGCGTTTTAGGCTTTATTTATGTTGCTGTCGTTATTTGTAGAAGCATGTGTTCGTTATGTGACTGAACTTAGAGGAGTTTCATTGTGCTCTAAGGTCCAGTGTGCATTAACTTTTAGCTTATGAGAGTTTTTCAATTGTAATACCCTAGTGCTAAGACTTTTCTGAGGGAAGAATGGTAAGTTTTGCTTATGAAGAAGCTAGATGGGAAAGCATATGAAAAAGTTGAGGTTTATAAGTTGATTACTTGATTTTAGTTTATTTGAGAAGTTTGATTCCTTTTACCCTGTTGGTGATTGATTCCCCCCGCCCCCCTCTTTCGCACAATAGACTGCCTGAAGCTGATTTCTTTATGCACTTTCTGCATAGGCTCAATTTGGAATTGACCTCCTTCTATGAAGGAACTTAATTGTATATTTGTATGACTTCATATAGTCAGTTCTGTTAGTGTTTAAGCAGAGGGATAGTGAGAAACCTGAAGACACCTTTAATTCTTTTTTTGGGTTAGGCACACAAAAAGCCTTAGCAACTGGCAAAGAGTTATAGTGGTATTTACAATTGATCATCAATGATGGACCATCATCAGTAATCAATTTCGACCTATATAATCCTATGGATATATATAATCCTTTTCTTTTGGGCTTAATTGGATTATTGTAACACAAGTTAAATATGTCTATGTTTTTTCAAATAGATATAGATCCAAAAGTATGGGAAACTGCATCCAAGTCCTCATCTATCAATGTTTGTGTATGTGACTGAAGTACATATAATACATGTTTTTGTTTAACGATGTGATATCAGGTATTTAGGTTGGTATATTTGGTTGTATGGCATAGTTTTCATTTTAGCTCAGGATCAGGGCTGTACATGTGCCTGGAAGTTACTAAAGAGCATAAGTGAGCTCTGGTTTTGTGCTTATCCTTCTTGTTTGGTATTATGTGAGCTAGTGCAGTTGTATTAGTATATTGTATTATGTGTAGTTGATTCATTTTCCTATTGCTTTTATCTTTTGAGACATTGAGATGCTCCTTCTATGACAAGCCCTTTGAAGTTCTTGTACTTGTCTTAGAAATGACTCACTGACCCCTTTTAAACCACAGATAATTACTCAGTGATCCATTATACAGATGTGGATAATGATGGCCGGTGTGATATCCGATGTCCCTTTTGTGATTTTGAAATTGAAGTTCCTGTGCTCTGCAGCAATTTGGAAGAAGAGCATTGCCTTGCCCTAAAAAATGTGGTATGCGCTTTATGTTTTTTGAAATTTCTGTTTAGCACCACTAAATGCTAACATGTTTACAACTTTGTTATATCCTTATTTTCTTTTTCCTTTTTTCCTTGATTAATTAGTATTTGTCCAATTACTTTATTATAAATTATAAATGCAGTTATGTAAATCTGAACAGAAAATTTATGTGTCTGCTTGATATGGTGCACTGTCTTGATCTGGGTCTAGAAGATAAAGGATCCATCAACCATTATATTTAACAACTGGGAAAAATGAAATAGGGACATTAATATTTAGGTAAGTAAATCATGATTGAAATTTGAAATATCTGCTTCAATTTTCTTTTATCAGGTTTGTCCCGTATGTGAAGAAAATTTAGGGAAGGATGCAATCATGCAATTTTCACATTCAAGCTCTCGAAAGGTATGCTTTGTTTATCTAAAATATGTATGTTCTAAAATGTACTATAGCACATGTTTGGCTTTATGAGCATTTGGTTATTGTCTAAAATAAATTAAATATATTGATATTTGATCTAGTGGGCATGGAAGCCTGAGAAATCTAGCATCTGGTCTGGTAACTCTGCAATGTTTGGCAAGAAACTGGCTACCAGGGGAAACAAACAAGAATCAATACCAGATCCACTTTTGTCACCATTTATCTGCAACGTGCCAATTCCAAACTCTAACAATTCCCATTCAGATGAAAACTTCAGCTCCAGCAATAAGGATATAGACATTCCTGATGCAAAAAGGTATGTTTTTTTTTTTTTTTTCCATCGAGATTTGTAATGGTGGTAAGTTGGCATAACTGGAGAAAACTTGAGAGACTTATAGTGTAGAGTGCATGACATATTAAAAGTTTTACTTTTTTTGTCCTTTGTTGTCTTTTCTATCTCCTGTTCTTTTTTGGGTGTTAATGAGACTTGGAAATCAGACAGTAAAAGAGCTTTGCTTTGCATTGAGATTAATCTGCTCAAATTTCTTTGAACAATTGTGGGGCACAACCACGAAATGACTTGAAACATCCTCCAGCAAGTGTAATTTTTTTTTTCTGTCTCTATGTATTAAAAGTAAATGCCCCTGATTTGTATGGTCTCACTTGATGTTGAATACCGAGACTTATACTGAAACTTCCTCTGAAACAAATTTTGCTTGTTGTAATGAATAATAATGCAATATTACTGGGAGCAGATCAGCAGTCAGTTTACACTTTTCTCAGAACTTTATGATCTTTAGCGGCTTAAGTTTTTTGTAATTGTAGAATGGAGATGATTTGTATTGTAGCAATACTAACGTTCAATGTATAGATAATAACAATAAGGTTAAAATACTTTTTTTCTCTCTATAATTACACTTATTTTATCTTTTAGTCCCTATAGTTTAAAATAAATCTTTTTAGTCCATATACTTATCTTTTTCAATCCTTTTTAGTTTATGTAGGTTAAGGTAAATCTTTTTAGTTTCTATATTTGCAAGTTTTTAATCTTTTTAGTCCCTATAGTTTAATCCTTTTAATACTACAAGCACCTACACATAAGACTTCTCACAAGGACTAAAATGATTAAAAAACTGCTAGACTTAAAACATCTATCTTAAACTAAAGGGACTAAAAGGAATTGAAAAAGATAAGTATGAAGACTCAAAATCTATTTTAAACTATAGAGATTAAAAGATTTATTTTAAACTATAAGGACTAAAAGGTAAAGTAAGTACAACTATAGAGACTAAAAAAATATTTTAACCTAAAAATAAAAAACAAACTTGATTAAGCTATTGACAGACAATGTATGCTATTAAAGTATCAAGGTAATGTTAACTGATTCTGTTAGCTGGTTAGGAGGATAGTTAATCTAGTTGATCAGTTAAAGATTAATTAGAATGCTGCTTAATATACTGTTGCTGATTCTGTATAACTCAGCGGATCACTAGTTGCAGAAATTGATTTTTACATAGTAGTTAAATCATTCACTTATAAGATATGCCAATACGCACATGTAGATTATACCCACTTAAATAGCTTATATTTGTTATGAAGGATGATTCAGATGGTTTCTCTCAAGGTTTGCCTATAACTTTGCATTAGCATGCTATTCTGACGATAATTAATACATTCATGGTTTGAAGGATTAAAAACCGAGAGGTTTACTTAGTAGTTTTAGAAAATTTTTCTGTTTCCATCAACAAAAAATCTCAATGTTTAATTTTGTTTAGTTGTGTCATTCCCCGAGTCAGGACTCAGGATTACCTGGCTATCAATGGGATGAAACTTCTGCTCAAATATATGTCTATTTTTTCCATTTCAGGAACAAATTCTCTTCAGCAGTTAACTTTGATTAGTTAAATATTTGTGACATAAAATTCAATATATCTTGAATGATTAATAACATTTACTTTAATATAGTTCAATATTCCGCACATAAAATGTCTATAGTGTAGGTTGAAGATCATAAGTAGTTTATCTGTCATAAGTCAGAACAACCCATGAGAAAACAATTGAGTCAAACTTCATTTCTGATATAAGCTCGTGATTAAAACTTTCTAACCTGCGTTTAAAATTTTCAGCTTCTTTCATGCATTGGGGGTAATCCTTACCAAAACTACAAAGCGAAGTTATTGAAAATCATAAATGAAATATACCCATTTTACCATATTGTGACTTTTAAGCGTTGTAGTTTGTGGCAATCTTTATGGCTTATGAGAAGTCTACCCTTAAATCCAATGTTGAAATATTGCTAATGATTTTGTTTTTGCAGGACTGGTACAGATGCACGTGAAATGGGTGATGAGAAGGATCAACAAGAGAGAAGGATGAAGGCAGATTTTGTTCAACAGTTGGTGTTCTCAACCATATTCGAGTAAATGTGTTGGTAGAATTTACCGTTACACTAGTCATGGATTGGTAGCAGCTCCTTGCATATTCAGATAGGCTCTGATGCTGATTCAACAGGCACCGAGTTTTATTGTGCTCTATGGCTTTAGGGGATGTTTAGTAGTCTAAGCAATAGTTATATTCAGCCAATGTGTATTTAACTATATTTCTTATCTTTCAATTAAAGTTTGCCTTATGGTACACTATATAAAACTACGTAAATCTGCTTTACCATATTTGATTTCATTATACGCATCCCGAGTGTGGGTTCTGTGAGTGGTGAGCAACTGATATTCGTCTGAGAACGCCTAGCTCATTCTATCCATCGTATCAATGATAGTTTAAAAAATAACCGAGGTTTAAGTCGGTGGTAATTTCACAAATCGCATGACCCTTTCTTTTTCTTTCATTTACATAAGAAACAATATAAAAAAGTTATGCTTTTTCGTGAATGATACTAAAGAACGTGAAAACATTAAAGGGTATACTTTGATTTTTTTTCATTTTTGAAATCATCTTATTTTTCAAGACTATTAACACTTCACATTGTTTTTAAACAAATTTTAATTTTAAAGTTAATTCTTTATGTAAACCGTACTAAGGTCCTTTACTTCTGTATTTACTTCCGAGGGAAATGGTATTAACAGAAACAGAGGAGGAAAGAACCTGTATGATAGAATTGGAGCAGAATATGAGAGAAAACAGTAATTTTTAGATAATAAAGAACGGGTATCAAGAACTGAAGTAGTACCACTAACGCAAAGGAATTCTCTCCCTCTCCTTTACCTAGATATTCCTGAGATCCGGTTTTCCTTCCAATTTCATTCTCATAACGAGCCCCAACGTTTTCACCTAGATAAAGATCGCTATAGGTTTCTTGAGTACAGAAGAACAATAGGATCAATTGTCTGCCCGTTTCATTGCGGCCTATTTAATATTTAATGGGAGAGTATCACTTACCGATGGACAATCGAAGGCCTCATGGCATAAACTAAGTATCATACAGGTGAAATTAATAGTTTAGGGTTTTGTTAACATAAAGAAGGCAGTTTCATGTAATCTTCTTGGCCAGTCGTTAATATGCAATGGCTGGTGCAGATCACCATCTTTCCAATGTTGTATTCCACCAAGCTCGTCAATTCTCATCAACCAATTATTCAACACACACTCAAACACATCACTCTCAATAGTCAATATACACTAGTATTGGTAAAATTTTATTGAAAATTATAAATTTGGAAAGAGTCATTAAATAAAAAATAGAATCCATCAAAATTTGTAATTTCCAATAAATTTCAAATAATAGTAAAGTGTATAGAGAATGTCTTGATAACATTTCTCTTCAACTAGTATTTTGGTGAGTGCGGTTTGAGTTCTGCTGCAGACTGCTTTTCTGGCCATGCAAGAAAACTCCTTTTAGGTATTCTTTGTTCAGTGCACCTCAGCAGGCCAGCATACAATCCCTGAAATACTCCAGTGTGGTAGTTTTGCTTCAAACCCAGCAGCAATTCACATGGGTCTCTCATCATGGAGGGCTGAAATTGACTCATCACTGATGTTCAGAAACCCTCCCACGAAGGACTCGGTGAGCCAGATTCCCACCATCAAAACCAACCAAGAGAGCTCCCCTCTCTAGCCACCATCACAGCTTGAACCTGTCCCCCTCAATTTTCTCCCTCTCCTTCACCTAGGGTATTCAAGAGACTCAGTACTGTCCTTCCAATTTACTTCTCAACTGACTCTAACCAACTCCCCCCATCTCCTTGTATCACTGAATCCAAGTACTTATTCTGTCAACAACAAAGACAAAATCGAGTCCTCATTCATTCCCTAGACCCTATTTGTGTGTTGGGGGGATGGGGGATCTTGTCAACTAAACCTACTTATATAATACATATTAAAATACACAAATATAAATAACTGCAAGAGAACTGACGTTGTTTACTGTTTATCTCTTCCAATTTTGTCAAGCAATATCTGATTGACTCTGGATATGAATGTGATCCCTGATCGGCATTCATGACGCATCACAACTTGAACACAAGGCCTATAACCTGAATGTGAAGAACATGACACATGTTTTCATAGCTTAAATCTCATATAGCCTGCCAAGATAAGTAGTTCACTGACTTGTCCATTGCATATTTATTTTCAATAGACATCCAATATAAAATTTCAGCAAGACTTCTACCACACAAAATGAACAGACTTGAGCTCCAACAGTCTCAGGATATTTGCGACAAAAAAAGATGTAACCACATTAGTGCCACAGTTGCATTATTGTAGATTATTAAAAGCATTGCTAGGTCTGGATGAGAGGAAAGGAAGGGAAAGGGGAGGAGAATGGAAGGAAAAAGTGTGCCAAATCCCTTTTTGGAAGAATTCATGTAAGGGATGCCGCCTCAAAGCCCCAAATACCTTTCCCATTGCATTGGGGGATTAAATAGGGGAAAGAGAGTATTTTAAAGTTAAATAAGAGAAACTAGCTTATTTTCCCCTTCACTTTAACTCCAACTCCTAAACAAGGGGTAAAGAGTCCCCCTCCTACATCCAAACAAGGGAAGTGACTCACCGTCCATCCAAACATAGCAGACATGATTGTACTAAAGAGAAATATTGTTCAACCTTGTAAAACAAATCTCGCAATTACAAGCAAGACAAAATTTCGAATCTTGCTTGAGTACTTAACAGATTAATTATAACAATAAAAGAGATGGAAGCCAAACAAGCCATAAGAAACTCATCGTCCAACTTGACTAAACATCATTCATCTAGAAACCTACAAAATATAACAAAATGGATATAGCAGCAGTTGTGTAAAATGACAAAACTCAATTGCACAAGCCCTTTGACAATGATAGATACTTTGCTCACGATGTAAGAGTCATGTAGCCGGGAAGCCAATCTCACAACAATTTACTCAATGATGGATTGGATAACACCAGCGCCAACAGTTTTGCCTCCTTCTCTAATAGCAAACCTCATACCTTGTTCACAAGCCACAGGCACAATAAGCTCAACCACCATCTTAACCCGGTCACCGGGCATCACCATCTTGGACTCCTCATCCTTGTCATTCATAATGGCAGTCACTTTGCCAGTAACATCAGTAGTCCTCATGTAGAACTGCGGCCTATACCCGGCGAAAAACGGAGAGTGCCGGCCACCCTCTTCCTTCTTCAAAACATACACAATGGCAGCAAACTTGGTGTGAGGGGTAATGGTTCCAGGCTTAGACAAAACCATCCCTCTCTGAATATCAGTCTTCTGAATACCCCTAAGCAACAACCCCACATTGTCCCCAGCCATAGCATCATCAAGAATCTTCTGAAACATTTCCACCCCAGTCACAGTGGTGTTCCTAGTTTCCTTCACACCAACAATATCAACAGTGTCTCCAACCTTGATAGTACCTCTCTCGACGCGGCCGGTGGCGACGGTGCCACGGCCGGTGATGGTGAACACGTCCTCAATGGCCAACAAAAAGGGGAGTTCAGTTTGGCGCTGAGGGATGGGAATGTAGTTATCAACAGAATCCATAAGCTCGTAAATTTTATCAACCCATTGGTTTTCGCCGCGCTTGATGGAAGGGTTAGCCATTAAAGCTTCCAATGCCAACAATGCGGAACCGGAAATGATGGGAACATCATCGCCGGGGAACTCGTAAGAGGAAAGAAGCTCGCGAACCTCCAATTCTACTAACTGCAGAAGCTCCTCGTCGTCGACTTGGTCCTGTTTGTTGAGGAAGACAACAATGTTGGGGACGCCGACTTGTTTGGCCAAGAGGATGTGTTCTTTGGTTTGGGGCATGGGGCCGTCGGCGCCGGAGACGACGAGGATGGCGCCGTCCATCTGGGCGGCGCCGGTGATCATGTTCTTGACGTAGTCGGCGTGGCCGGGGCAGTCGACGTGGGCGTAGTGGCGGTTCTCGGTCTCGTACTCGACGGTGGCGGTGTTGATGGTGATGCCGCGGGCGCGCTCCTCGGGGGCGGCGTCGATTTCGTCGTACTTTTTGGGGGCGCTGTTGCCGAGGGAGGCGAGAGCCATGGTGAGGGCGGCGGTGAGGGTGGTCTTGCCGTGGTCGACGTGGCCGATGGTGCCGATGTTGACGTGGGGCTTCTTGCGCTCGAACTTGCCGCGGGCGGCGTGGACGGTGAGGGAGCGGCGGCGGGTGGCGGTGGCGGGGGTGGGGGTGAGGTGGAAGATTGTGGAGGGTTTTAGGAAGGAAGAGGAGAGGTGGGTTGCGTGGGGTTTGAGGAAGAGGCAATTGGGGTTGGGGGAGGGTGAAGGAGAGGGGTAGACATTGGCGTTAGCGTATGCGAGCTTTGAGGTTGCTGCTATTGCTGCTGTTGATGAAATTGCCATTGGGGTTTTGGGTTTGGAGAAGAGAGAAGAGGATAGGGGTGGAAAGGGAGAGGGAAAGGGAAAGGGTTTGGGAGTGTGTTATGTTATGTTATCTGCTGTGGGTGGACAAAAGAGGACCTCATGTTAACACTTCTATCTCTTTTGCATTCAAATTTTGAGGGATTTCACTTTACTTGCTTTGCCCCTTTATTTTAAGTTAATTTTAGTTGAGAAAAAAAAATTGTTTTATTATATTTCATAATGAGATTTTTACAATTATATTTCATAATTTTTTTTAATTTATTTAGGTAATTTTAATGTAGCCAGTAGTCATCCAACTCTTTGAGTTTAATATAAATTAAAAATTGGTGCAAACTTATAAATAAAAAAAGATATCAATGTGACTTAAAGATTATTGTTAAGTGGATTGTACATGTTTAATTATCTTTTTTTATTTTAATTTACTCTCTTTGTTATATCAAGGGTTATGTCTACTTGACTTATAACTTTATATAATAAAAAAAATCGCTTATAACATCTCTTTGCAATATGAAAAAATGTTGTGAAGTTTCTTTTCTCTTTTTTATTTCTTGAAAGTTATCATTGTTATTTGATCTTCCATTAGAAATAGTTGTTATAGAATATCACTTTGGTGCTTTTGTAGTCTTATTATGTCTTTAATACAAACATTCATCCAATTTTCTACCTCAAAATGCTTGGAAATAATCCATGCCCTAACCAAAAAATTAGGTTTGCTTTTCACTCAAATTGAGAATAACTTGTAATTTTAGGATTCACGCCATGAATCCTTAAGAACCACTTTATTATGGTTCTTGATTAACTTACTCATTCTTTCACTAATACTATGTTTGTCACATTCACATCTATCATTGCAAAAATGCCTTTAAAAATTCTTTGGTTTCACATTTTTTTTCTAACCTTATTCCTCCACTCACCCTTTTGATAATTGAGTCTTATACTCCACCAATATATACTCATCATTTACCCTCACCTTTTACTCATCAACAACCCTCTTATACCACACCTATAGACTTGCCTCCACCTTTCACACCCCCACCACTACATCCCCCGCACCCTCACCTTTCACCATTTACACCACCACCAAACCTTCGACTTCCTAATATACAACTCGCCCCTTTTGATGGCTTTGAACCTTTGGATTGGTTCTTTTAAGTAAAACAATTCTTTATGTACCATCAAATTTCATGGGGACACCATTTATCACTAGCATCTTTTTACTTGAAAGGTTGTGCCTTGAGTTAATTCAAGTGCTTAAATATGAACAATTGACTTTTTGATTAGCATATATTCTCCATAACTTTGGAAATGCGCATCAGTCCATCATCTTATGAAAATTATCAAGCTAAATTATTCAAACTCTATCAAATTGGCTCGGTCAATGATTATCAAACTAATCGTGAAAGACTCTGTATTGTGAAAGACTCTGCAATAGAATTATTGGTTTAACTCTTGAAAATATTCTTAATTGTTTTATTTTAAGACTCACTTGAAATATGCATGAAAATGGTATTGTTACAACCAATCTCCGTCACTTAAGCCATTGAGCTAGTTAAATTTGTGGAAGTTGTGACACCCTCTACCCCAACATTAATACACAATAAATGTAAACTATAATTTTCTGAGTAAATAAAATCTTTCATAGTTGATAACATCTTTCATGGATAAAACAAGTTTCTCAATATCATAAGGTAGAAGATTCACATTCACAACTCATAAACCATAACTCCAATGTAGAAATTACAAAATAAAAGAAACTAAGGTTTTCAAAATAGTTTATGGAAACAACATCCTAGGCTAGTCCTAACTATACCCTAATATCACATGTCCTATTAGAGCACGCCAATTGAAGCCTAAACTTTGTCACCAACATCCTCATATTGATGGTCACCTACAACACAATAAAAGACATACATAGAGCAAACAGTGGAGTAAGAAACATCTCACTCAGGTTAAGGTGTAGAAATAATGGTTAGGCAACACACATAAATCATAACAAACACAAACATACCTACACATTAATCAAGTACAAATTCAAGTTACACATACAACAGTACCACATACGCAATCATTCATCATGCAATAATGTTATGGACTCGACTCATAGATGCATACATGTGGCACTAGTCACATATCACATATCATTGGTGTGCTGCTGAAACAACACACCTAAGGTAGTATAGGAGTACATGTAGGGAGCTACCCATACACTCTCAACTAGAAGGATGTACTGTCAAGGTCTGGTCAGGATAGTGAAGTTGTGCAAGTTACGTCTCGTGCTCACAAACGGGAGGAATCAAGACATCCAAATCGCACTATCTCCTAGGACTCTCCCAAGCTGTTACACAAGGAGGGCCTTCCCTAACGGTATACTCCACATCGTACTCGTCACATAGATGCACATGATGCATGTCACACATTCACATTTCATTGACTCATCATTTCACTTGTCATAGTTTCTCATATATCATGTCTTATTGTCACATATCATCAGGTCTCGTGTCTCATATTCACTTTTCACATTGTCTCATCATATTCAAAGTCTCGTACAAGAAACTTATCATAGGCATATACATTAGAATAACACATAAACCATACTGAGAAATTATCCAACATCATACACATTCAATTTGCAATTCATAACATAAGAAGTATAAAGGTCATAAACCCAACTTCATGAGTTCACGCATTTTTTTTACAACTAGCCCGTTAATATAATATTACAATCAGTTAAAACACTCCAAATATTATCCAAAAATACGAATTCATCATCAATTTTACATATAATGCCTCAAAATTCATCCGAAGATCATATCCCTAATTTTACTTCATAGGTTTCCACAGAAACCCACAGAACACTCTAATTCATATCAAAACTTATATGTTTTTGAAATCAAACACATATTCACACTCAGCAAACATCAAGGAACACAACAGAAAACTCATAAGCCAAAATAAAAAATATTCAAAATTTTTCTACTTCTCATAAGATTTTCATAAGAATTCATAGAGCGCTCTAATCCATATCAAAACTTATATATTCTTGAAATTGAACACATATTCACAGTCATAATCACACAAGAAATGCAATAGAACAATCAGAAAACAAAACATAAAACTTTTATAAAGTGTCCGTTCCTATCGAGCAAGGGATTGGGGGTCAATCCTACAACACAACAGTTATTCTCTCTTTTAGTAAAAATAACATATGTTTATATAAAAATAGAACTCATATCTACTAACTAAATAATATTAAAAATTCTTTTAATAAATACATTAAAACGTTAAAATAAATACTGACATATTATTAATATAATTTTATGAAAATTAGGGTGTTACAAAAGCTAAAATAAAAAAATTCCAAACCAAAATCTTTCAAACCATACTCAAACTCTTATATCTAGACAAACACATTTGAAGACTTGCCCATCAACCCCACCCCACCCATCATTTCTCGTAACCCTTTTACCATTGACCCTTCAAACCATCCCTCTTTACCAATTAAATGCCTCTCTCAAAGTTAACTCTAATATTGACATGTTGATTTGTGTTATAATTATGATGAAAATTTTCACTCTAGCCATAAATTCACTCCTCTAAAGTTCTTTATTTTGTTAACTAGAGAGGAGTTTGATGATCCTTCCCCACCAAACCACTTAAATAACACCCAAACATCAACAACAAAATTGTTCATTTATAATTATCAAGTTAAGCTCTCACAAGTTCTTCATCAACTCAAACCCTTGAGTTTCAAGAGTTCATTAATGGTTTGTTTATTATGATTCTCTTCAACACTAAAAGCTCTCACAAGATACTCCAACCCATGATTTCTCATCATTTAAACCTCTAATCTACTACTACCAAACCTTTCCTTCTCATGGTTGGAAACAACCAACATATCATTGTTTTGGCCTTTGCCCTCAAGTCCTGGTTACCTTTCAAAACCACATTTTTCATATTCCTTGTTATCTCTTGTCTATATAAGGAGTTAATGTTGCTATCGGAATTAAATGGTTGAGCTCAATAGGCCCCTGAAGGTTAACTTATCTATACCTTAACTAACCTTTAGTATTGCCAACACTACCATTACAAAATTACAATATAGAATGAGCCTTTGATCCAACCTATATAGGCTTCTTACCAACAAAGTAATGTATTACCTCGTTCATAAATTCCATTGCTTGATTTAATTTGTTAACTTTTAACACCCCTCTAACCCTATCAAGGTCATTTTTAGTTTTGATTTCCCCTTAACTCACCTTCCATTAAAGCTATCATTTAAAAGTACCAACATGTTTTCTTTAAACTCATGGGCTCCAATATGTTTAACCACATGGACATTATATAAAACTCCGTTCCTAAACCCTATCTATCACAACTACCAAAAGGAAACAATGTTAAATTAATTCAAGATATGGTCAAAGAAGGGTATAACAATTCCTAGTACCATCCCTTACTTTTCCTCAATTCTATTGGTTTGAAAAAAGATGAAATTTAACATTTTTTTTTTGGTATTATATAACACTACTAATCTACTATGATGAGTTATTTATCTTATTTATTTATATTAAAATGAAGTCATAAAGTAATTTGTTAATTTTTTTTCTATGTTAACTTTTATAATAAAGTTATTTTTTTCTAACACATTCACCCTTACACATCAAATACAAATAAACGTACAAAAACTTTTTTAGGAGCTTCTATTTAAAAAAAAATGTTTAGACACTTTACTTCGATAAGAAATTGTTTAAAAAAATTAACTTATTATCTATTTCAATTTATATTTATCATATATATTTCTAAATTAATTTAATAATTTTAAAATAAATTATAATTAGTTAAAAATAATTTTGTATCATAATATAAATTGTTTTTTACAAATATAAAATATAATTTATATGTTTAAATACATTTTAATTTAATGTAATTTATATATTAAAATATATAATAAATATTTATATGCATAATTTATTATAAATTTTATTTATATATAATAAGTATTTAACATATATAATATATATGATAAAATATAATTTATATATTCATAAGATACACAGTATGTAATACACTTTTGAGTGGACAGTTATACTTCCACA